CGTGCGCCGAGGGCGCGGGAAGCCACTTCTGCCGCGGGTGGCGGGCGGGCTCCCGCGTGTGTGCCAGGGCCCGGGCCCAGCGGCCCTGCACACACACGGTTGCGTGCGGCACGTGACCACGGTAGTTCCACGCAGGGTTTGTCTCCTTGGGTGCTGTGAAGCTGTGCGCGCGCAGAAGTCGCCAGTCAGGGTGTGACCTCCCGGGCCCTGGACAGCTGTACGATGCCTGGTGGTGCAGCCCCGGCTGGGCCAGCGGGAGGCCCCGGAGACATTGGGCCGCGGGGCATGGCGGTCCCCGCCCCCTTTACTGTGAGGCGTGCAAATGAGCCGTAGTTTGGCAGTGATGGCTTAAGTTTTCAAACAATGAGTGTCAACTTCTGTAATTGAAAAAATCCCTGATGTTGAAGGAAAAGCTATTTAGATGTCAAATGCAAATCAGAGCCACAATGATAAACATTTCACTAGAAAGACCCGGCTATAATGACAAAGAACTAATGTTGGTGAGAGTGTGGGAACAGGAAGCTTCATACATTGCTAATGGGGTGTAAAATGAAAATAGGCTCAGCTGCTTGGGAAGCCAGTCTGGCGGTTTGCTGGGTTAACAAGGTCAGTGCGATCCACAGCCCCATTACTGGTCTGAACCCAAGAGAAATGGAGCTGTGTGTGCGTAGGACTCTCTCACAAATAGCATTATTTGTAATAAGAAGTAGACATCCAGATTTTCACTGATGAATAGATGAAGAGGGTACATATAGTGGATTCGTCATCATTCAGCGGTAACAAAGGAATGAAGTCTCAAACCCGCAGGCTGCCACAGGGGTGGCCCTGAAAGCTGCTCCCTGAAAGCATTCAGCCAGAAATAGCACGTGGTGTGACTCTACTTACAGGAACTGTCCAGAACAGGCCGGTGTAGACAGATTAGTTAGTGAGAGCCTGTGGCTGGTGGGAGGGGAGAACAGGAGGCGACTGCTGCTGGTGGGTTCTGTGTGGGATGTGGAAATCTCTGGAATTAGTGGTGGTGTGCACATTTTGTGGCTCCAGTAAAAACCACTGAATTGTATGCCTGAAGAGGATGGGTTTTATGGTTTGTGAATTCCACATCATTTAGAAACCTCTAGACAAGGAAAATTCCATCCGACAGGTATAAATGTTTAATATCTAGACTATAAGGACAACTACATTAAGTTCAGTAGCTACCTCCATAGCAAGTTGTCACAGGACAACTCCACCCTATCCTACCCTATAGGATGAAGCACAAACAAGAGTCACATGGAAAAACTCACAGCCTCGTAACAGGTAATGAAGTAAATTAAAATCAGGCAAAACTCCACTACATCTCTTAAGCCATCAAAAATTTTTAAATGGCAGACATTGCTTGAGGCACGAAGCCACTTTCCGAAGGGTGGTATGGCCCACCCAAGTGTCTGCAAACAGTTCACATTCTAGGACACTTAGGAACACGGGAGGGGAGACCATGCTTATGGGGGGCCGTGGGGAAGGTGCCCAGGACCCCGTCATGAAATGTCCCAGCCAGGGGCCTGGGACCAGCCTCAGGCTGACTCAGGCGAGCGCGGGCACATGTGGCCACACAGCGAGGCTCCCTGAGGAAGCAGCTTGTTGCCTGCCCTGGTCACGACTCCACGTTCTGGGGTCTGGGCGAGACTGCATTCTAGTCCAAGCTTGACTGTCTCTTGTGTTCCTTGTCCTTAGATCTCTTCACCAGACCACAGGGACTTACGGCCGGGCCGGGCAGCCTGAGCCTGGATCTGCGCCCAGGCCATCCGCAGTCCACGGGCTGGCATTTGGTAGCGAGGTCTGACCACTGGGTGAGGGTGAGGTGAGGACCAACGCTCAGGACCAGTCAGCACCTTTAAGAACCTTAGTTTGATACTCCAGGAGCAAAAACTCAGGAGGACACCCTCGGCGTGGCCTGAGGCCAGCTGGGTGGGGACCGCAGCTCGGAGCTCTGGGGGCTGACCCGCTGGAGGGTCATCATCAGCCGCTGGCCCCTCTGAAACCTGGGGTCCGTCACCAGGACTTGTGTTCTGTTCTCACCCTCGGTTTGCCGACATCTGTGTGCCACCGCCGCCCACCCCCACCCCGTCTGCGCCTGTCCATCAGCTCCTCAGGCACAGACTGGGCTCTTACCCACCCCATTCCCCATAGCCCTGGCCACCGTGAGCTCAGTCATGACTCGAATGTGAATCCAGACACAAGGCCGGGAGCGTGGAGATGCTGTGTTGGGCGTTCAGTGGGGCCACAGGTCCTCCACTGGGCAGATGGTCAGAGGGTCCATGTTTTTTCCTCCGTCATGTGTCCCGGGGCTGAAGATGGGCTGAAGGGGCCCAGGGGGAGGGGAGCTGGTGAACGAATACATGTGGGACTTGGCCGTGACGTTGTAGAAGGAGATGCTCCCCGCCTTGCAGTCCAGGAAGACGCCCACCCGCCTGGGCGGCTGGGGCATGTGCAGGCGGGTCGGGGGGAGGGTGGACGCCTGGTACTCGGTCCGCTTCGTCATCATCACCACCCAGTAGCCCTTCTGGGGCGACAGCGTGATGCTGCCCTTCCGGCTGGCCGACGCGTTGCAGACGCCCAGGACCCAACCTGTCTTGCTGCCCACCTCCACCTCCCAGTAGTGGCAGCCAGAGATGAAGCTGGGGACCCCCAGAGTGAAGATGCAGCTCTCGAACCTCTCAGGGCTGTCGGGTAGGCGGTCGGACTTGTTCCCCAGCCTCACGCTCCGCATGTCATCAGAGAAGAGCAGGTTGCAGTGGGCGGTGGCGGGGTCCAGTATCACCACAGCTGCAGAGAATGAGGAGACACGGCCCTGAGCCACGAGGCCCCCCCCACACCGGGAGGCGTGGACAGGCCACCCTTCCAGCAAACCGAGGGCAACACAGACCGGTTGTCCAGTCCTCTCACCTCCAGCAGGACACTTACTCGCATATGCCTGAGCACCGGTCAGCTCTGGAACTGCAGAGAGAAGGGGGGGTTTGAGCACCCCCATTCTGAAGGGCTCAATCCACCCTGGCCCTGCAATATGAAAAGACGAGGGCCCCTGCCCAGCACCCAGCCCTGTGCCTCCCAGGGTCCCAGGCTGCATGGAGACAGGAGATGAGCCGGCACAGCCAGAGGCCCGGCACAGTTGGGGCGCGGGGCGCAGCCTGCCTTCCTCCCACCTCTCCCGGGCTCCCGGCGCACGCCGGCCGGCCACTCACGGTTCAAGGCTTTCATTTCCACGTGTAGGGTCTCTGGAAGGAGAACGGGAGCTTGAGTTAGGCCCCCGGCTTGGGACGGACTGAGAGTGGCTGGAGGCAGAGGACAAGGGCTGGTCATGGGCTGCGGGCTCGCGGCGCCGGGCACCTGCCTGAGAACTGTGTGATGGCCCTCGCCATGGCCTGCGACTTCCGGTAGAGCAAGCGGAGCTTCCTCTGCACCTCTTCAGGGGTGGCCCACGGCTCAGGGACAGTCGCCGTCTTGGCCCTGGAGACAAAGGACCGTTGACCCGAATGGCCTGAAGCGTGAGCCCAATGACAAGGCCCCGCCAGGCACCCCCAGCCCCACCGGGGCTGTGCAGAGAAGAGCTGCCCCAGACGCTGAGTTCTAGACTGTGCGCTGCTTTGGCTGTGGCTCGCACTGCCTGGCGTTTAGAACCCACTGCCCCCCGAAACCAGTCAGGAGGAGGACAAATACCAGATGAGAGAGAATGAGAGGGACAGAGTAAACTAAACCAAAACAAGCCTTTCAAATCTGACCTCAGAATCGAGGTCACCAGCAGGGAGTGTGGGAGTTGGGCCCCGTGGGCCGTAGTGGAGGATTGTTGGGGTTTGGGCATGGTGCAGCCCTGTACATCTGGGGAGGCGTGAGCCTGCATCCCGAAAGAGTACACAGTGTTGGGGCCTCCCTGGGGGCGGGGCGCAGGGCTTAAAGTCTCAGCCCTATCAAGCTACCGCCAGCCGCTGCGACCTGAGTCTGATCCCCGGCCAGGCAGTGACCCCCAGGGTGCCGCAGACCCCTCCTGTCTCCCCGCTGCTCCCTCAGCAGCGGGTTTCAGTGGATCCGCCTGTTCTGCTCTCCACTCTGTCTCTGGGGAGTCCGCTCACCCCATGCCTCCGCCCCAGCTCTTATATGCATAAATAAATAAATATCTTTCTTTAAGATTTATTTATGCACACAGAACTGAGGTACAGGCCAGAGGTGCAGGGGTGAGAGGCTTCCCCAGAGAGAATGGGGAGCAGAACAGGCCGACTAATGAAGTCCACAGCTGAGGGGGCAGTGGGCAGGTCAGGAGAGGTCTGCTGCGCCTTGGGGGTCACTGCCTGGCCGGGGATCGGACTCCGGCTGAGGCGCTATGGCCGGCGTCATAGTGCTGAGCTTTAACCTGTTGCACCACCAGGAAGGGCCCAAATAAAAAAATCTTCAAACAAAAGTACACAGTGTTGTAAACCAACATTTCCTTCATAAAGAAATCAAGTGGAAGTGTGCAGAAACCAGCAATAAGTGCTTCCACATACATTTTGGATTTTTTTCCCACATATTTTCAGTGACTCAAGAACTTAATATTGACTCATATGAACATGACTCATATGAACATGACTCATATCTGTATGAGTCATGAAGTTGATTTTTTTCCAAAAAAGAAACCACCGTGCGTTTCAACAATGGCCTGGAACTGGAGCTGGTGCGAAGCCCGCCCAGGGTAGCTGCCAGTCACTGACTGCTGCCTAGCGGTTTTCTTCCGTCCAGTAGACAGCACCCTGGCTGGGGGCGCAGGGCGAAAGCACAGCGCTACAGAGCTGGCGCAGCGCTGAAGGCCAGGGAGGGACCAGGGCGCAGCAGGCCCCGTCTCCGCCCGCCGCCCCTCCGCAGGGAGTCTCAGTGGCTCGTCTGTCCCGCTGCCCACTGTCTCCCGTGAGGTTTCTCGCTTCCTGCACCTCTGGCCCGCACCCCAGTTCCCCTCCGCATAAACGAAGAGATCTTAAAAAAAAAGAAAGTCTTCAAGGCTGCGGGGATGGCGGAGTCACGTCCCTCGGGGGCTGCCCCTCCACCCCCTCCTGGCGCTCTGGCGGGACACCCCAGGGCATGCGGCCCCCCGGTACCTGTGCAGGATGGCCCCGACGTCCTAGGAGAGAAATGAGAGGCCTCCGTTACCGGGCTTCTGGGCACGGCCTGGGCCCTCGGCCCCTGGCGGGTGAGCCCGACTGAGGCGCCCTCCCGCTTCTGACTCTCCCCACAGGGGTGGGGGCCCCGCACCAGAGCTGCACCCAGGACCATGCCCAGGAGCAGCTGCAGGCGGGGCCGCCCCGATATGAAGCTACTGAGGCGTAAGCAGCATGCCCACCAGCACCCATCCTCAAGGCACGCCGGCTGGGCATCACCACGGGCTGTGCTGGTGGCTCGTGCCAGGGCGGCGGGCGGGGCGGCTCACCCGCATCAGCTCCCACTCTGGCTGGCCCTGCTTGGCCTCCAGCTGCCCGATGAGCTCGTCGAGGAGGGCGATGTCCCGGGCCACTCGGGCACCATGTGTCTGCCCGACCTGCTCGATGGCCTGCTCCAGCTCCTCCAGTTTGGCCACCAAGAGCTGCTCCTGCTGCTTCAGAAAGTGGCCAACATTTTCCAGCTGGCACCGGACCTTCTGCTTCTGGATCCCGGTTTGTTTCTAGGGCACAGGGAACACAGAGTAGGGTTGGGGGTGCGTGTGCCCAGGGGTTCCAGAGCCCCTGCAGGGGGTGAGCAAGGGGTCACCTCCTCAGCCTACAGCTCTGTGGCCTAGAGCAGGGGGGGAGATGGGCTCGAATCTTGCCCAACAGACGCAGGGCGGGAGGGGCTGGCCTCGGAAAATGCTCTCCAACCCGCTGGTGGGCAGAATTGTGCCCCCACCATTCATACCTGAAAGCCCCAACTCCAAGACCCCAGAATCTGACTTCCAGCTGGAAGTGGGGTCTTTGCAAACATGACAAGCGAGGTGAGGGCGGAGGGTCTGCCCGTGACTGGTGTCCGTGCAGAAGGGGAGACCCGGCCGCCAGCTGGCGAGAACATGGGCACGGAACCCGCCTGGGCGCCAGGCCCCCCCTCCAGAGCAGGGGCCTGCCAGCTGCAATCCGCCCAGCACACGGCCGCCAGGGCTCCTGCCGGCCCCAGAGCCAGCGTGAGACGTCTTTGCTGTTTGGGCAGCCCAGGGCCCCGCCCGCCCCCAAGCCTCTGGGAAGGGACTGACCTCTCCCCGGCGCTGAGTGGGGCCGCAGCCGTGTGCAAGGCTGGGCGGCGGGGCTGCCACCCCCTGCCCCCCACTGCTGGGTTCTCAGAGCGCGGGCTCCGGCTGAGAGGCCTCGGGCCCCCTCGCCCCCTCCCTCCCGCAGGGAGAGGGCCTTGGGGTCCACGAAGACTGGGCCTTAGGGCCTCACTGCCTCTGGCCCGAGCACAGGCGCCACGCTGACGCCTGGGAAGCCCGTTGTCGGGGCCAGGGCCTCTGCCCTGAACTTCCATCCTTTTGCTCCGATTAAATGCTGCCCGGCGTGCAGGCAAGCGCACCAGAACAGGGCGCCCTCCCGGGGCCTGCCCCTGCTCCCAGCAGGCCCCAGGCCCACCGCCCGCCCAGGAGGTTCAGGGCACCGCAGAGGGCAGGACGCCTCAGGCCCGCCCGAACTGCCCAAATCGCGTCATTTCCTCCGCAGTGGGGCGCTGGGGCTGTGGCCTCCACCTTCCCCTACGTGGAGGCTCCTGACGACACTGCGTTGCACAACCCATGCACAGCCGCTGCTCGCCTCTGTGACCGGCTTCCTCCACCCCCGTGTGGCCGTGGGGGCTCAGGAAGGCTGGCCCCTCTGGCTTCCCTGGGGCTCCCCCGCCTTCCCCCAGGGGAGCCACGCCCGCTGCTCCACCCCCAGGCTCCAGACACCTGGGCTGGCAGGAAAGGCCCCCTCTGGCCCCCCAGGCTGGACCCCAGCCCCAGAGAGGGCGCTGCGGGCTGTGCTTCGGGCTGGGGTGTCCGGCTGCAGCTTTCAGGGAGATGCTTAGCTACTGAATTTAGAAAGTGAATTTGGATTTTGTAAAACAAAGCCCGAGGACACCTGGAGTTGAAACTTCCTTTCCCAGGCTCCCACCGGGCAGGTGCACGCCTCCCTGTCCCCAAGGGCAGGCGGCCGTTCTGTTTCCCTGGGAACCAGAACATAATCTTGGGGCCCTCCCTGGGACCCCCCTCTTCTTGCAGGGGTGAGCCTGCAGGGCCCGAGCACCCTGGCCTTACCAGGAAGTCCGCCGTCTCTCTCTCCCGCTCCGCTCGCTGCTTCTCCCCGGATGCCCGCAGGCCCTTCAGACGCTCCAGCTGCCCGTCGATGTGCTCCTGGGAAAAGCCCGGCCTTGCAGCGTGAGCTTGGCTGTTCCGCGATGCCACCCCGGGAGGGGCCCATCCATTGCTGGGGCAAGCTGTGGGGGTGCCACGGGCCAGGGGAGGGGCACCCAGCAGGAGGGGGCCGAGCCTCCGCGACCAGGAGAGGCGGTCAGCGAGTCCCCACGCCCGAGCCTGCGCCCAGCCAGACCTGAGGCGGCCTCGCGCCCACCAGCGAGACCCGCCTTCGCTGGGCCTGCGCTGCGGTTTTGCCCACAGCCCCGCGTGCTGGCCCCGAGCCCTGGGGCTGGGCGGGGGCGGGGGGGCGGCGGCGAGCCCCACCTTGTACTCCAGGGCGGCCTCCTGGATGGGCAGCACCCGATGGCCGCGGTGCTCCTGGCTCAGCCTGCAGATGAGGCAGACGGGCTCCCCGTGGTCCTCGCAGAAGAGCAGCTGGGCCTGCTGCATGTGCCGCTCACACTGCGGCGGGGCACACCCTCGGGCGCCCCCGGCCGGGGCTCCTTCCTGGGCGGGCAGGGGCGGACACCCCGCCTGCTGGCGCGGCCTCCCTGGGGACAGAGCGGCGGTCTCTGAGCGGCCAGCCCAGACGCCTGCGGGTGCTCGCCCCTGCCGGCCCTCACCTGGGCCTGCGCCCCACACAGGCCCAGGGCCGCTCCAGGAGCAGTGAGGGGCAGAGAGCGGCGGAGAGCAGCCCTGACCAGCCGCGCCTGTGCTGCGGCTCCCGCACTCTGGCCGAGAGATGTGAAGGGAGCTGGCGAGAGCACCTTCCGGAAGCGTCTGGAACCTCCCTCGGGGATGCTGTTCTCTGCCTGTATTCTGCCTGGAACGAGGGTGCCGCCACCTGAGGCCATGAGCCGGCGGCCACCCGGTGAAGCAGGGAGCCTGGGCTGGGCCCGTGGGGCGTCATGGGCTGGGGGCAGCCGCTGCCCACGGCCCACACAGTCCTCAGACCTCCCCATCAGACCTCAGAGTTCAGCTCAGGGCTTCCTCCATGGGGCACAGGGTGGAACGTGGGCGCCAGGACCCCCTGCCAGGTGTCGGTGGGAGACAGGGCGTTGGACCCAGACTTCCCCAGGTGCTCCGCTTGGGGTGCACAAAGCCCTCGAATCCGAGGACTCCCAGAGCGCCCCAGAGCTCCCTGACCTCCAACGCACCGCTTTGTGGAGGCGGCCATGGTCCACGCTCACCCGGAGCCTCAGGGGCGTGGGGCCCGGGTGGGGAGAACGGGAGCCTGGGGTCCTGCACCCGCCTGTCCCGAGGACGCCCGGCCATCCGGCTCTGGGTCGGTTCTCACCTGCAGGCTGGTGGCACAGACTGCCCGCCGTCGCCCCTGGGGCCGCGGGGGGCTCTGGGCCTTCCATTCCAGTTTTCTCCCAAGATGCTGTGGGATCTGGAGGCTCCCAGGTTCCCCCCTCTCTGGTCGGAAATGCTGCGGAACGTCTACTCCGGAGGGCCCCCCCTTCCTGGGCTTGGGGGTGAGCTGGGTTCCCAGCAGCCCCCCCATCCGGAGCGGCCCCTTGGCTGGGGGTGGGCGCTGAGTCTTTGTGCTCCTGAGTTAGAGGAGTTTCTGGGTTGGGGGGTGCCCCCTCCGAAGAGATGGGGATCTCAAGACTCTTGGGTCGCTTCTTTCCCGACGGCATCCTGAGGTCTCTCTTTGTCAGGGGCCCGGCGCTGGAGAGCCCCTGGAGCCTCCCCGCTGAGCTGGCGTTCCTGCGAAGCCCGGTGCCAGAGTGGCCGCCCCTGTCCCTGTCGCCGGGCAGCTTGCCGGGGGCCGGGCCCTTCCTGGCCGGCTGAACGAGGCTCCTGGCCCCCAGCTTGCCGGCCGCGTCTGGGCCTTCGGGGCCCTTCTGGTCTTTCCGTTTGCCCTGAGGCCTCTTCTGGGAAGCCCTCCCGGCTTCCGGCTGGCCAGCGGGCAGGCCGGCCGCCCCGTAGCCACTCTGCCGCTGCCCGTCCGCTTCGGGGCTGCCGGGCGGCCGGGGGCGCCGGGGCCTGCTGTCCCCGCAGGAGCAAGGCGCTTCGCAGTTGTCTGCGCAGCCTTCTTGGACCAGGTAGTCTGAAGGGAGACAACAGACACTGGATGTGAAAAGGTGCCTAGGACCTGCCAGGCCAGGGCGCGGGGCGGGCAGAGCCCCTTAGAAGTGGGGGCAGCAGGACGCCTGGCTCGGCACCTGCCTGTCCTCGGCCTTTCCAGACTCCTGGCCGGAGGGCGGCTCAGCGTGGGGCCTGAGAGTGCCCAGTGCGCGGGGCCAGGCCCTCGTCTCTTGGTAGACGCCTGGACGCGTTACGGCGCAGCCAGACCAACGCGAGTAATCGGCGCGGAGGATTCCGGCGTTTCATAATCAGGGTTATGAAAGCCGGCTAATCTCCGGAAACGAGGTACAAGCCTCCACATGCTGGTGACTTCGGGCGGCACCAGCAGCACCCCGCCCCTAGGTGGGCGACCTCGAGGAGACAGCCACAGCCCTGCCCGGGGTGGGGGCAGGTGGTGAAGTGAGGTCGGGGCGGAAAGGGGAAGGCTGTGGCGCCGCTTCCAAGCACGTGGCCTCCACTCAGGAGCCACCAGGGGTGAAGGCAGAGGCTTCGCCCCCCAAAGGTGCCCAGGCACCCGCCGCCCCCGGCTCACGTTCAACCCCCGCGCCCCGCCCCACGCCCCGGCTGCTTGCAAGCTCACACCAGAACCTCAGGAAGACTGGCCGCAGGTCACGTGGCTTTTGCCCTCCTGGCCCTGGCCAGTGCCTTCCCAGCAGGGGGAGGGAGGGGCGGGATGGGGAGAGCTGCGATTCTGCACCTGCCAGGGGAAGCCCAATGCAGCTGCACTGCCCTGAGGCCCATGGCTTCTTTCGGCCCCTATTATTGTCTTTTAAAGATTTATTTATATGCACACAAGAGCGGGGTGCAGGCTGGAGAGGACTCACCAGAGACAGAATGGAGAGCAGAACAGGTGGGCACACTGCTGAGTTGGGTCCCTGGCCAGTGACTCTCAGGGCAAGCAGACCCCTCCTGTCTCCCTGCCGCCCCCTCAGCAGTGGATTTCTGTGGATCCTCCTGTTCTGCTCCCCACTCTGTCTCCGGGGAGTCCGCTCACCCCCACAGCTCGGGCCTGTACCCCAGCTCTGTATGCATACATAAATTAAAACTAAATCCTTTTTTTAAAGGTGTTAAAGAATTCCGAACTGAAATCATTGACCACAAAGAGCCACTCACCTGCCACCCCGTTCTGTAGTGGGACAGCAGGTGGTGTGTGCCCCGGAGCCCACCTGTCTGCAGGTGAGTGTTAGGAGAAGGGAGAGGAGCCCCCACAAAGGCGCACCGCCTGCCTCTCAGAAGCCCCTGGGAGCTCTGGACCCCTCCAGTGACCAGGGCGAGGGAAGGGGCCTGTTTGGCAGACTCTGGGCCGAGGTCACACTCCTAAGCCCCAGGCACAGGCGCCGGGCAAACAGCGCTTCCCTCTGTGGCCTGCTTGCTCCGGGTGCAGGCAGTGGGGGGAGCTCACTGGGGCCCTGGCAGGCAGCGGGGAGGGAGCACTGCCCAGCGTGGGGGAGGGAGGCACTCACCTGGACCGAGGGCACGGTGCAGCTCCTCTGCCAGGAGGTTCTGGTTGATGGCCTTCAGGATTTGCAGGGTCAGCCGCACAGCACACTGCTCCCCATAGTGACTGACCAGCAGAGTGGCCACCTTCACCGGCCTGGCTATCTGGAGCTGGCCCCGGGGGATCCTGCGGTGCTCGTTCTCCAGGCTGGTGTTCTGCAGCTTGAACTTGAACTTCTCAAAGTCGTAGGGCACCAGCTCCTCCAGGGAGAACAGCAGAAGGTCACTGGGGGACTTGGCCATGCTGCTGGCCAGGAGCGCGGAGTCGGTGGTCAGGCTCTGGCGGAGAAGAAGGCTACCAAGCCAATGGCCAGCGCGAAGGGGCAGCTGGAAGACAACGGGAGCACAGGAAATGAAGGGGCAGCTGGGAGACAACGGGGAGCACAGGAA